TTTTGTGCAGCATGCTTCAAAACCTAATCCTGTTTAGACACACTGCACAATCCCACTCAGCCTGGGATTGTAGCTATCACTGCAAAGTCAGGTTTATAACAACTATCGGCTGCAACAGGGATCAAGGTACTACAGTATTACAATACCCCAATCCTTCCCTGCCCTCAACCCCCAAACCTGCACTCCTTCTTTCCTTTGCTTTATTCCTATTAAAAGTAGAAGGAAATTCTTTCAATCCTAGAATTTACCAAAGCTTTGTTACAAATATACCAGGACAGCTGACCAGAACACAGAGGTGACAGATTAGGTTGGTGTGTACACCACAAGAAGCAAGCATTTTCAAAAAAAACACAAATACTGCAAGAAGTACACAATTTTTTCCTAATCCTTCATGTTGTTTTTTTTCCTCAGCCAGTAAAGAAAATTGCAAAAACCCACCTTATTCCTTTAGCCCAGACTGCTTTGTTGAGTCTGGTATCAATGCGGACGTCAGGAGTACCCATCTCCTTCATGGCAAACTTCCGGATTTCCTTGAGGGCGCGAGGTGCTCGCTTCTTGAAGCCCCTGGACAAACACAAGAGCCATTTCTTTAACTTCAAGACACTGTCAGCACTAGACACTTGTTCCATGTGTCCTCCAAAGAGAAAACCCCCCAAAGCACTGTGCTGAAGAGCAAACAGCTGCACCAGCCTGAGCAGACCTTCACCCTGGCAGGCAGATGCTAACTTTAATAGAAACCAGTTAGGTAGAATAATTTCAGTAAAATTTTGCAACCACAAAAATCTCCTGGATCTTAAGCCTTCATTTAAATGTCAATACTTTTGAGTATCTCAGTAACACTGAAGAGCTTAGAGATGTCACAGACACTCTGAATAAAACCCCTATGAGCAAAGCAGCACAACAGTATCATAAACATAACCATGACAGAACTGTATCAGTATTGAAATAAACAGCAGAAGAACAAAACTGATGTTATTCTGAATATCAGCTTTTGCTGAACAGTACCTGATGGTTACCTTCTTTCACACTATCAGGACTGCACCAACACCACCACCAGAACTGTTTTTCTCTCCCGGTACAGCCTGTTCCATGCCCATTATGGCCAGGTCCTGCAGGACTGGGCATCCACAGCAGAAATAAGAGCTGCACCATGAGTGTTCTGTCATATTTATTAAACCCACACTGTGACAGGGGCTGTGCCAGTAGTGCCTGAGGTCCCACAGTGGGTTATATCCAGTTATATAATGTGCACACTGCTGTTGATACTTTGAGCTAGAAATGGGAAGTGGGTACTTGATCACAAGTGAGACAAGCACTAAATAAAAAGCATTTAACTCCAGCATATCATGCCCAAAAAGAAAGGTGGACAGCAGATCACCAGCATTAAAACAGAATGAAGTGCCAACCAACAGGCAAGGCCAGAACATCGTATTGCCAGAGCACCACTGCCTCCCATTCCCAGCCACGGTTCTGCAATGCTCCACTGCCTCATTCCTCTCCTATTTCATGTCAGCCACTGCACCAATTGTTTGGATTTGGATGGTGCCTTCCCTGTGCATGCAGGCACACACACGGAATGCAAGGGCACTGCAGCTTCCTCTGAAGCACTTCTCTTCAAGAGCTTCAGCATCTGGTCAATCAAAAAGCTACTCTTACCTACACACAACAAATATCCCTTAACACAAATCATATCCCAGTTTACACCTCACACATTCTGTGATAAACATGAAACCAATAATTTGACTACAGCAGTATTTAATTTCTGGAACTTTCTCAGTGGGCTGAAGTTTAAGCATTTGCTTGGGAAAGAATGACAGAAGTAAACTGATCTAACTTTAGCTTACGTCCCAGAACACTCACAGAAACAGGCTTATTCCTGAAAGCCACAAGACAAGCCTGGGGTTGCACAGGTCTGTACCTCGGGACACAACAGAGGCACAAGAGACCACAAACACAATACTCTAAAGAAAGTCCTTCTCTGCTCTTTAAACCTACCGAACCTACTTCCAAACGCCACTTCACAGAAGGCAAATTTCGCTGATAAGAAGAACTTACACGCCATGGATCCGCTTGTGAATGTTGATGGTGTATTCCCGAGTTACTACTTCGTTGATGGCAGAGCGCCCCTTCTTCTTCTCGCCGCCTTTCTTTGCGGGAGCCATCGCAGCGACGCTGAAAGGCACCGCGCACACATCAGACGCACATCTCGCACCTTCCCCGTCCCCAGCCCATCGCAAACCGCACACCTCGCTCATGCAGAAACTCAAACCCAAGCTCCATTAACCCTCGGGGTCGCACCAGTCCCAGGCTTCACGCAGCAACTTCCCAACACCACAGATGCTTTACTTCCATCCCCCCGGGAAGAGCAGGAAGCACATCCGAGACTCCTGGACCACCTCACACTAACATCCTGGCCAGCCCCAAGCCCCCTCCCTCTG